TTCCCACCCTTCCTCCCTCTCATTTGCTGTGGGCAGCAGCTTCCCTCAGTATACTCACTGGTGCCTCTTGGATCCTTGCCTACAGGAGGGAAAAAGGCACCATATACCCCTGTCCAGGGACTGCAAAGCTTGTTAGATAGCATGTATGGAGGGAATTACATCAAATATAAAATTTAGTTGTGTTTGGCAAGCTCTGGATCAGACAAAAGTTTTATGAAGAGACCCTGGGAGCTGAATAAGCAGCCAGATGTTTTCCTGCTGCTAAATCGCAGTGTTTTCTATTGTAAGTGCACTTGCCCAAAGACTTTCTGAAGACTGGATATTTCATAGCACTTTCTTTGCTGCTTGGCCACCAGTGCAAGCAGGTAATAGCAAGCAAGCTGCCTGGGAGATGGTCATCTGAGCTGTGCAAAATCCTGGTGGTGTTGGCAAGATGAGCCCAAAGTGTGTGTGCAAGAGGGCACACGTGCACAAAGCTTCACTTTGTAGTATAAGAAAGTAGTGTAGTTTTTTCTTCTATCCAAACCAATCCTGAATCTGTAGAACCAGTTTTTAAAAATTAGGTCCAAGCCTATAAACTGGTCTAAACTGTTATCTACTACATTTAGTTTTGCATAAGTAAAGAGTGCACAATCAAATCTACAGATTGTGGGTATTATTTGTTTCTTCCATGTATTGGCACATGTGTCTGAGCTGGTATCAAGGACATAAGTTGTATCTAGAATATTTCTATGGTAGCCCAGATTTCTTACACAGAACACCACCCAAACATAAAATCACCATAAGCACACTCTGGGATCTATTTTGGACACAGTATGAATGAGTGCTGCTCTGCCTGTCTCAGCATTGTCTGTTCAACTGCAAAATGACCTGCTGGCAGTGTTACCCAATTGCCTGGCAACAATCACCTCAAGGCAGGGCATGCCTCCTTTCCAAAGGAAGCCTTTGGGCATGTTGTTATAAGGTGTGCAGAGCTTTATTCACCCAACCGTGGTGTCTCCGGAACTGGGAGGTTCCTGGTGCCTAATGAGTCTGCCCATGCTCCCATCTGCTCAACTCCAGTGGAGGAAGCCCAAACCAAGTAAGGGAGCTCTTTTGAAGGACACAAAAGACTATGCCTTTGCACAAGCGGTGACTTGTACAAGGCTATGTTTGCTGGTTTTGTTCCTTGCAGTGCCTTTCAGCCCTTCTTGCCTATCCATGCAGAAGTGCAGCTTTATCTGCTCAATACTGCCTCACCCACCTGTACAAGATGTGCAAGGCACTGCCTGCTGTTCCCTTGTCTCCTGCTGGTCTCTGCTCCATGCTCAGTCAAGAGGGAAGGTTAAGAGAGGTTGGAGCAAAGCTTAGATCGTCTGAGAACAGAAGCAAAGCAGTTTCAGGTGCAAAATTTACTGGATCCCTGCTTGCCTGAAGCTTTTGTTCATTTTTGGAGTCCTTTTGTGTAAGCTGGCTGATAGCTGAGGTGCTCTGAGCACATCTGCCTGCTTTATTCCCAGCCACATGCTTGCCCCTGCTGCTTCCCATGGACCAGGCAGGGACGTGACAAAAATAAAAGCAGGAAAATATCACAGTAGCAGCTCTGTGCTCCTCACTTAATAGCAGAAACGCCTTTTGCTTGGCAGCACTGAGATAAGCCCAGACCTTACTGTGAGGGGGGAAGGGAAGATTATTAGTAGCTATAAATCATCCTAAAAGGATGGGGGATGGGTTCTCTCCATACCCTGCCCTTGTGCAGACATGTTTGCTGTGAGCAGTCCTGGCAGACCGTATGAGCTGCATACTCATACTGTTGTAGGCAGCAGTTTGTGGAAGGTTGCATTTCAGGGCAAGTTATTTCCAGACCTGAAGAAGCTGGATTTTAAAACATGTTTACTTTTGCCAGATGCACTTCTCTTTTATATTTTTGTGCAACCTTGTAGCTTGTCTTTAGGGGAGAGGATTATGTTGAGTACCTGAGTGCATGGAATACCCTTGTGCTACCAGTGGCTCTTATGTGATGGAGAAGAGCACTCGCATTTCAAATTCCTCTGAAGTGGACACAGAAGGGAACTGACACCACAAGCACTGGCAATGAACTGAGATGTCACTGTGAATGCCAGCTGCTTTTCCTGGAGACTCTTGGAACTTCTTCAGGAAGCTTCAGTATTTCCGTGTCCCTGGCTGCTGTGGCTTTGCTGTTGCTGGTGATACACGATTGCTCCTACCAGCCTATCACACATTGTATAATTATCAGTCTTGAAATACAGCAAGCTGTATGGCTCAGTCTCCAACAGTGTTCCAGTGCTGGCATTAATCCACTGTTGTTCTTGACCCTTTGGCAGTTTATCTGATTGACAGTGAATCATGGTAACAGTGTACTGAGCTTGGTGTTCCTTACAGGGGTGAGTAATGTGCCTCTCTCCCTTCTTTGGTAGCAGAGGAAATAAAGGCCCCAAGAAACCAAGTGACTCAGGTAAGGTCCAGAGATCAGGAGAGGACCCACACTGTGTTTCCTGAAGTCTCCTTTTGATTTAATTATATCCTTAGGGATATGTCTTAGGGATTTTATGACGGCTCCCAAATCTGATGGGACTGTAGGCAGCTGTCAGTGCTCAGGATTTCTTCAGAGCTGCGAACTATCACTATGTGCAGGTTTTGGCTGGGGTAGAATTGTTCACAGTGGCTGGTAAGGGGGTGTGTTTAGGATTTGTGCTGAGCACAGGGTTGATAATACAGATATGTTTTTGTTATTGCTGAGCAGGGCTTACACAGAGCCAAAGCCTTTTCTGCTTTTTGCACTGCCATGCTGGTGAGGAGTCTAGGGATGCAGGGGAGACTGAGAGGAGACACAGCTGGGACAGCTGACTCTGACTGACCACAGGGATATTCCAGACCACATGATATCATGCCCAGTATATAAAGAGGGGGAGGGAGATGTTTGGAGCGAAATTGTTTGTCTTCCCAAGTAGCCATTATTCATAATGGGGCTCTGCACTCCTGGGGATGGCTGAACACCTGCCTGCCTATGGGAAGGAGTGAATTCATTCTTTGTTTTGCTTTGCTCGTGTGCGTGGCTTTTACTTTCCCTATTAAACTGTCTTTATCTCAGCCCAGAAGTTTTCACTTCTACTCTCCCAATTCTCTCCCTGGTCCTGTAGGTGGGGGAATGAGTGAGCAGGTGAGTGGGTCTTGGCTGCTGGCTGGTGTTGAACCACAATACCCTGTCACAAGGTTTACAGGAGGTCCTTTCAAGGCGATGGATCCAGTGGAGTGGCTGCAGATTGCACTCAATGCCCTCAATAGGTCACCAGTCAGCTGAGGGCTGCACATTGGCAGGTGATGATCTTCACATGTAAATCAGATTTTCTGTATCCATTTGGTGCTTTGTTTGGTATTTTCATCAGCACTTCCCTCTGTCAGTTCAAAGACTGCTTGCAGCATTCAAAGTGGCATGCAGGTAGTCATTCACTATTGGTTGACCCATCTGAAGCTCTTTGGATTAGTGTTGAGCACCTTGGTGAGCTTGGACATCTGTGAACCACTTCTACGTCCTTCCTTTTTCCATGAAACGCTTTCCTAGTACAGAGGTGAAAAAAGAAAAACATCTTGTTATTTTTCTTCTGGTTGGGGAAAATAGCCCACTGCAGCTGTGAGGAGACATGCTGTGAACAGCTTCAGATTTGACCCAGAGAAAACAGTGATTGCTTCTAGTGTATGACACCTCTAGAAGGGGAGTGTTTCCCTGGGGACAATGATTTGCCAACCAAACACTAGTTAAGAGGGATTTCTAAATCTTGTGAATGGTATTTAAGTCTGAAAGCTCTGCTGGGTTTGCTCAGCTGCTTTCCAGCATGCTGAAACCTAGCATGAATGTGTAGAATGAATACCAGTTGTAATGGACTCATAAATGAGGTATGTCTCAGCTGCAAGGCATGTTTTAATCTGTACTCATGTCTGGGAGCAGTCCACCCTTCCCATTTCCTCTGCCTATTAAATAATGGACAAAATCCCATAGAAATCATTACACTCCTTTCACAAATTCATTAAAACTGCACAAAATCTTATGTAGTGTTTGCAAAGCCACAAACTTGATGTTATTCACCCTCTGCCCAGGCAATAATGTTGGCCCAAAGAGGTCTCAGTTGTTAAGAGGACACCTCTTTAAAAGAAGTAGGGTAAAATGCAGAAGCCATTTAGTTTATTTGTTTGATAATGCCAAGTTTTAGCTGGGACCTTTTTCATGAGGAGTGTCATACTGATGGCATTGCTGCATAGTGTCTTCTGTCTGGGACCACATGGTGAGGAAAGGGAGATGCAATATGGCAACAGATGAGCTGTGGTCAGGCAGGGGGGTTGGTGCTTCTACTTTTTCAGACACTAACAACAGCTTGTGGTTTGAGGATGAAGTTTCTGATGCCTTTCCCCCTTCCAATCTGTGTGGATCATTCACTGCTTTGGGATTGATCTGGCTGAAGTCAGTAAATGTGTATTGCACCTGTTTCTGGGAAAAAACATACTATTACAACGAAAGAAGCAATCTGAAATATTGAGCCCAAACCATTCCTTTAAGGAAGAAAACAAATGAGATTGTAATGCAGGCAAAACTGTTTGTGATTGGCATTGGTATTGCAATGACTCTGATACTCTTTTCTGTCACCTGTGTTCTTAGAGACTTGGACTTCTGTCTGTCCCCAGCACCTTTTGTTTCAGAGAGCTCTTCTCTGTCCAGGAAAGTTGCTTTCTTTATGATCTTGCTCTCTAGCATGAGAATTGTCTTGAGTGAAAATACTATTTCTGTTATTTACCTGTTGTCCTCTCTCCAGATTTCTATCTGTGGGTGCCAAAACAAAATATCTAAAAGACCTAGATAGATTTCTTCTGAGAATTTACTTTCATTAATTTTACCTTCTTTGCTTCCAGGTACCAGTGGGAAAAAACACAACTTCTCCAACTCCTTTTTAAATGTTGCTATAGAAATCTCCCTGGAAGGTCCATTCACTCTTTTTGTTTTCTCTTAGGTGACTCCAGGCAGCAAAGCTGCAATAGCCAACTTGTGTATAGGAGACCAGATCATAGCCATTGATGGAGTGAATACAGATAACATGACGCACCTTGAGGCACAGAACAAAATCAAGGCTTGCACAGATGAACTGACTCTGACAGTCAGCAGGTACGTAGCTGGGCTAGACTGGGGCTGGAGAGAGGGAGGATTGCAGGGTGGGCAGTAGCTGTGTTTTAGTTTGACAGTACACCTGTCTGGCTGGTTTAATTTGACCTCTTAGTGCTTTGTCTGGCAGGTGCTGGCGAGCAAGAAGGAACTGCATTTCATCCTTTAATCCTAATGCTGCTTGCATTTGCTGCACTTTGATCTTAGGAAAACAACTTTCCAAGTGAGAATTGGCTGGTAATTTATGGCAGGGCCTGTCAGCTTACTCTGTGTCTCCTGACAGCAAGAAACCAAAGACGGTCTCATGAAAACTTCACTCATAGCAGAGGAGGTGCAACCAGCCATGCCCTTCATTCCTGTTGCACTCCTTTAGCAGTTAAAATACATGCTTATGTGTTGTTCCAAGCGATTAATTGCCTGGTTTCTGCCAAGCACAGACTCAGAAATATTGTACATTTTGAAGCCTCTTGATCAAACAGCACTGCCAGCCTTAAAGAGTGATGGCCCAGCCTGCAACGAAGTTCCTCTTAGGCATCAGTCTCTTCATGTCCTGAAAAACTAAAGGCAGGTGACAGCTGAGCCACGATTTCTGCCACTAGTGTAGAGCACTGGCTGACTTCAGCCTTCCCACCATCTTGAACTGCAGAGCAATGGACAGCTTCATTCCTTTCCCCAGCCATGCTTTGTTCTTGGGCCATCTTTGTACGGAGAGGAAGTGGAGATGGGAAGGCAGAGCTCTGCTTTGCATTGACCTGTTGCTACTTAAAAGAACTGCAGCCTGGTTTTTTTGAGGGTGCTGGGGATTTATCCTTCCTTTTGGTGTGAATTGCAGCTGCAGGTACTGGTGCTTTTCAAAGTCAGGTGGTAGATGCAGTATGGCATTTCTAGTTGCTCTGGAGCAAGTTTTTCCTGTGCCTGCCTTTCCTAAGAATGATCATCCATCAGTTTCAGGGCAGATGCAGGGGAAGTGCTTTCAAAAGGAGTGCAAAAGCATGCTTTAAATGACACAATGGTTCGGTTGTTCAGGGCTTTTCTGTGATAAACAGAAGTCTTTACCGTGGCTTGGACAATGCTAGGAGTTCAGTGGGCATTTCCCAGTTCAGGAAGAGCGATGGGTCTTGGCCAAAAATAATGCCTGATGGTTCATTAAGGGAATTCACAGATGGAAGAACGGAGCACATGGCAGGCAGTGTGAATGGGCAGTGAACATTGCAGCAGCCTGTTTCTCATACTGGCCTTGAATTTAGCAGCATATAATCTTCCTGGAAAGGGGTGTTCCTTCTCTCCAAAATCCAGCTGCTTGACTTGGCAAACTATTGCCATGTGCTTCTGGCTGGGAAAGAGGAAGGGAGGCAAGGGCTCTTTCAGCCTGCGGGCAAGTTCACTCTTACAGATCATTGAGTCTGTAAAATGTGTTTGCTAATGTTAATTACAAAGTCATTACATTTATAGCTACCCTATGCACATTTCATTTGCCTTGGGCTTGGAAGCTGCCATTTCTTGGAAGCTGGGAGAGATTTCTAGCTGGATCTGCAACTGTGTAAAATTGTGCAGAGCTTTCAGTTTACACGACTCACCTCTTTCAAGACCCTCTTTCAATGAAGAAGCATGAGTGTGTGTTGGATGCTTCTGCTGCCGTACTGATCACTGAGTTCTGCTGACAGAAGGCCAGGAAGAGTGTCAAAATGCAATGTGAAAGCAGTGATCTGACTTCTTACACTTTAGAGTTTGATATTACTACCCATTGCTCTGTGGAAAATCTGTGTACATCATGTTGTCTTTCCTGGTTGTACTCTGTTGAGAATATTTTATCCCTAATGCCCAGTGTCCTTCTAGGCCTCCATAATTGTGTTGGTCTAAATGTGGCTTCACTCAGTGGTCAGAAGTGCTATGTAGTCTTTATTGCTGAAGCAGGAGCACTTCTTTACTTTGCAGTCTAAGGCCTTAAAATGAAAGGCCTTGAGATGATGTGTAGAGAGGTGACAGAGAAAGCATTTTAAAAGACCTGGAGCCATACTTCATCTTCCCGCTCAGCTTGAGATAGGGGAAGTGGATGAGGAAAGCAGATTGTGGTGTGGTGATGATCTCTCCCCTGTGAAGAAGGGAAGGGCATTGTCATGGAGGTGGAGAGGTTGAAAGCTCTTGGGGAAAATGAGTGCCACCTGGCCAAGTGGTATGGCTTGGGCTTTCTGAACATTGATGGTCACAGCCCTGCGCTAAGGCTTGACCATACAGTTGGTAAGGAGGGCTCACAATACAGTCAGGTCAGAGCTGGAAGTTTTTTCTCTGTCAAAGTAGCTCTGTAAGTAGTTGGCTGAGTATGAAAAGGAATATATATCATTTGCACTGCAACACCACTAACCCTTGGGTCTGGTCTCCACGCTGTGCAGTTGTAGCTCATTAGCTGAATCAGATGTACCAAGGAGCTCTGCTGGCCCAGATCGTTGCTCTGACAGAGCAGCACCTCTGTGGGTTAGAACATTACACAGCTGGTGTGAGGATGTGCCCAGCTGTGCCAGGTTTTCTGGAGTGAGAATTCTTCCCAGTCCTCCTTTTCTACTCACCATTGGAGAGATGTCTTGTGAAAGCATAAATCCTTAGTGATTTTCAAATTGCTAGCTGATTAATTTTGAATGATTACTTATTTAAATGACTACCCATGCTAAATATTCTCTTACCTGCATTCAGTGTGGCAACAAGGTTGGGCCAGGTGGATTTCATTCAGAGGTCTGAGCTCACACCAGGTGTTTCAGTTTCACCAAAGGATCAGCACTGTTGCACAGTGGAGACTTCATTTGTGATTGTGCTGTACATGTGATGGGTGTATGTAGTTTGATGACCCTAGTTGATGAATTATTGCAAGACAAATCTTTAAAGGATAATATATACAATGGAGGTATCTCTGCTGCAGAAAGCCTTTAAGTTGCAAGTAGCTGGAAGCTAGGAGTGTTTCATGGAAGTGTTATGCTTGTCTTTTTCATCTGTTCTTCTGTGACCCAAAACAATATTTATACATGTGTATTCTTCAAATAGGCAACTCTCTTCTCTTTTAGTAATAGCCAAGCAGTTAAGATGTCTTCATGTTTGGCTTACTAATGATTATTTAAGAGAAGTGTAAATATAGAGAATTGAAATGACTTAAACACTTCTGGTAAAGGAAATGCTGTTTGCACTGTATGCTTGATTGTGTATATCAACAGCATTCCAATGTTTCCTGTTTCACTATTTTTCTTAGTGATGGTAACAGTCCAAAAATATTTCAGATCAGATTGTAGGCAGGAAATCTTGTCTAACACAGGTCACCATTAAAAATATATCAACTTTCTAGCTGAAGAAAACATGCCTGGTCTGCTTTTTCACCCAAAGGGGCAAATGGTGTAATTTCCTAGGATTTAAAACCCAGCCACAAATTGCTTTCTTTGAGTACTCTTTCCTAAGTAGCACTGCCAAGTGCTTTGCTGTTCTACTTTTGAACAGAGTTGGAAAGGTCAGTCTTCAACCTTGAAAGTGGGTGTTCAACAAAGTTGCCATAGATAACAAATTCCCACTGAACTCACTGTGTCCAGCAGCTCCCACTCTTTTCTGAGCCTGTTTGTTCATTCATTTTGCTTTTGTTTCAAGAGTAATGTAGCTATCAAGAAACCAAAGTAAAGGTTCCATTATTGTCTTCAGCAGTATACAATCAAGCTCAAGACAGTCAACTCAAGCCTAGTTGGTTCCTGAACTGAGAACTTCACAGGGAGATTTTTGTGTCTTTCCATAGCAAAAATGAAGTTTTGAATATTTTAGAAGAGCTATACTTCTTATTCCTGTTTTGTTTGGGTTTTTTTTTGGTTTTTTGTTTGTTTTTTTTTTAATTAGGCTGTGAACATCACTGCACTGACATGTTAGGGTTGAGCAAAGCCTTGCCCAGTGCTGCTTTCCATTAATAGGGGTAAGCAGCAAGATGTGTCTGACAACTATCAACTTTCTTGAGAAATTTAGTGTATTTTGAGTAAGATGCTTCCCCTGACAAAGAACATTCAAAACAAAGAAGGTGCAGGAGAAACAGATACTCCTACCACAAAATTCACAGGGTAGTCAAATGATCCAGGCATCACCCATGACAGTGGAAGTGCTCATGATGAATTTGACACACAGCTCTGTTGTGGCTGCAGATGTACAAAATCAGACAAATGTTCATTGCAGCACAGGTGAAAATTATTTCTAAAACAAACCATTCTTTGCCTCTGGGTATAGTCACCAGATGGGTGGTGAAACTGTGTGACCCTGAGCAAGTCAAAGGTAAAGTGTGTATTTATATAAGAGTTTTTTTCAACAAAGAAAGTGTTCCTGTAGTGAGTCTGTCCTTCCCTTTGTGTCTGGAGGCAGTTTGGGGGTGGTAGAGGGGAATGGTTTTAAAAAAGGGTTGCAAATATGTAACGTTCTGTTCTGCTCCCGCTGTCATTTTCCTCAAATTTCAAGCTGTTTTTCTGCCACTCTGCTGCCAGGTTATAATACATTAATGCACCTTTTTTATTTGCAAAATAGTCTTTTAATTTGTTGAAAGTTCTGCCAAGGAGCGAAGCTATGTATTTGTTCTTTGAAAAGTGCTAGGATCAGGGAAGTCAGACCTGTTACCAGGACCTGTTAGATGGATTGTCAGAAAGGATCATGTGTAGGTGCTTATAACGAAGAGAGCACATGTGTCATGTCCTCTACATTTTATGTAGTAGGTTTGGTTGCCCTCTTGCTTGTTCCATGTGTTCTCAGGTCTGAGCTGTGGGGAATAGTTGCACAAAGCCACAATAGGCTTGGATTTCTGTTCTAGGAAGTCGGTGGAATCCGTTGACTCATTTAGGTTTGCTTTTTTGCTTCCTTGCCAAGAAGAGTTTTCCAGTTCTGTCATCTTACTAATAATTCCTTTGGCCCTGGGAAAAGCCAGCTGCTCAGTGTGCAGCTATATAAGGCCATGCAGGTTGCCTGGCCCTCTGTGGCCGCTCCCAACCTCTCCATGGCCAGTGTCATGCTTCCAGCCCTTGTGGGCGCACGCCAGCAGCTTTTACTAACAACAGACACATTCAAAGTCATTTTGGCATATCAAGATTGGTATTTATTGTGATTTTACAACCTCTTTGATGAGGCAATAAGAGTTAACTCTGCAGCTGGCTAGTTAGAAGAGTGTGAGTCTGATCAGTCAGGTGCATCTTAGCCTCTGTAGTTGTCATGAATGTGCTCCAGATAAACAGAAGAAGCCACAGAAGTTTAACTGGAGTTGCCTTTTTGGTTTTAGTGGTTGTATAAAGAGATACCTGAAATGCAAGAGGGTCATGCATAGAGACATGCATTTAGGACCTCCTGTCAGTGACTGTCATTGCTGTTTGAATTGGCAGGAGGCTGTGTGCAGCCTGGGTACAGTTTTGCTTGCCAAAATGAATATGTCCATTAATGGATGTTTGTTAAAAGTGACTACTCATGTTTAAAGCCAAGGCCCTGTATTTGACAGCTGCTGTATCTAAAAGGCTGATTAAAATGTATCTTCCTGGTAGCCTGACAGCTCTTGTAGTTAGTTTCTAAACTTGATTAAAATGCCTGTTGAAAACTTTGGTGAGAGGATTGTGAAAGATAAATTCTTTAGGTCTTTCCTCATTTTTCAGCTAAAAAAATTTGTGCTGCGCAAGAAACTTTTCAGTCTTTTGGGATTATTTGCTACTTAGTATCTTAGTTGTGTCTATCCGAGTGTTTGAAATGAGATATGAATGAATGGAGATATGCCTTTCTTCTTTATGGAAATTACACAGTTCCTGGCACAAAGAATTAGACCCTCATTTTCCAGCTCTGAGTTTTCCCTTGAAGCTATGGCCTAACTTTGCATGCAAAGCACTGATAGCAAAATCTGGGCTCTTGTAATGTTTATATTACATCATGTTCAAGACAAGCTGCTTGAAAAGTGTTTCATAAATACCTCTTCATATTCCTGCCTTGACTTGCATGTGGTTTCCTTCCTTCTTTTTCTACCAGTACCTCTGCATCCAAAGTAGCATCAGAGAAATGTCTTTCCAATCTTAGGTTTTGGTTTCTGCCTGGATGAAACAGGAGATGCATGGCTCATTCCCTGGCCTTAAGTTACTCTGTGTCCTGTAGTAAGGAAACAGCATGGAAATGTGAACCGCAAAAATGACAAAATTTATATATAGATATGCCTGCAGTTAATTTCCCTGACCCTCATTCTTGGGCTTATTTGTGTCATGTTTTTTTCTCCTTCACTGTTTGAGTGTTGCTCTCTGATGGAGTCTCATTTGAAAGAATATGCATTAGAAACCATATTATAAAATAAATAGTCATTAGTTTATCAGGAGTTTCTGGGATCCAATAAGGATGCCAAAGCCTCTGGCTTTCACCAGGCAGGGTGGGATTCCCAGCAGGCTGTTGGACATCCAGGCCCTAGCCCGCTGGAGAGGCAGGTCTGGCAGCTCTACCAGCATGGCCCTGCTCAGTGGCAGGGGTACAGCCTTGCTAAGGGGAGCATGGAGGTGCTTTGTTAGCTGGGCGCCTTCTCCCTCTAATCTGGGGAACAAATCCTCCAGAAAGCCATTGCCAGCAGCAGCCTGGTGTGAACTGAAGGTGCTGTTACCAAGGCTGGGTTTAGCTGTCTACTCTGATGGCTGTTCCCTCTTTCATGTAACTAAGATATGGAAACATATGGATAAGATACAAAAATGGTGAGTCTAACCTGCTCTGCTGTCTGTACCTGGTGCCCACACTTCCCAGCACTGCAGAAAGTAAGCCCTGGGCCAGTAGTGGGACATAAAGTGAACTTTTAGGTGGTATTTTTCTTCCTCCTGCCACACTTCAGTACAATTGCAGGCATTGACACAAGAAGCACAGCCAGGAAACCCTTCCCAAGAGCTGGGACCATCGTGGTTCTACCTAAGACCCACAGACTGTGGGCTCCACAGGTAGTGCAGTGGGATGGGGCACATGCCTTGAAAGATCTGCTGGTAAAGCCAGGGAGAGCAAAGCTGTGTCTTTTTTCCGCTTCACTGGGCCATAAATGGGCTGCTGAGAGTGGCTGAGGGGCTCTTCTGCAGCTGTTGTGAATACAAAGGGAAGCTTTATCTTCCCTGCCTCAGAGGACAAATGCGTGGCCCATGTAACATTTCTGTTTGGATGACTTCTAGACTGGATTGAAAGTAAAGCTTGGGGTGACCTTGCTGCTTCCATTTATATCCACTGACAGAGCAGTATGGCAGCAGTGTGGAGAACAAACTTGAGCTATTTGCCTTACTTATAAATAAAGGAGAAAAATTTGGTCAAACCCCCTGTGGGCTGCAGTAGTTGGCCATAATTGCCTCCTCTCCTCTGGAGACCAATGCGCTGTGTGTCACCAGCACCTCAAACGCATTGAGGGCCAGTGGGATGAAAACAAGTGCCTGGGGGAAGTTTCTGTTCCATATTCATACACTGGCCTGCTCTAGGCTTAAATTTTTCAGTGTGAATAAAGCCTTCTCATGCTTCTGAAAGCTTGTAATAAACTGATGTAAAAGAAAATGCTACCTCAAAAGTTCTTGAATCACTGTTGCAAGAACTGGCTCAGGGACGCCTCATGCTAGAAATCAGCTGAAGTGTTTAATGCTTTCTGAGCTGCTCTTTCATCTCCAGTCAATGTCCCTTTGCTTATAGCCTGGCTAGCTGGGTGTCTCATTTCCATACATTTTGCTGTGTCCCCTGTTTTTCCAGAGGAGATGAAACTTGGTCATACATGATCTCCAAACGCTTTCAAGGAATAAGGCTTTGTATTGGTCATTAGACTGCTTCCCTATGTGCAAACAGTCTTCAGGTGTGGAAAATACAGCCATCCTGGAAATGGGTGTGACTTTGTGAGGCTTGATAGCCGTAATCTGGGTGAAATTGTTGGTTCCTCAGGCACCTTAAAGCACAGGTGTCCAGAAGCAAGGAGAGAATGGTTGTTTTGTATTCACCTGAGGCGTGTTGGACACCCAGTAACAGCAGCTGTTGTGACAAGATGATGATCAGATTGGTGTGGATCTGATACCATGCAGCTGTTAGTCATACTTGTCTGTGTGTGCCCCAGCTTGCCAGACAGCAGCGTTTGAGTGGCATAGATTGTCAGGTATAGCTGGGTTTCCAGGATGCAATAACCAAGAGTCGAAGGTTTGCTGCACCTGAATACTCATAAAGGATATCAGGTGTGACCTGTGTGTTTGTACTTTTCCTGTGAAAGGAGGTACAGCACAGCAGATTTCATTCAGGTTTCTTCTGTGTGAAGTCCACAGTGCAGTAAAGGGAATAGCAGGTCAATAAAACTCTTCTTCTTTCCTGACTGAGAATGCTGCCTCCCATCCCCTCCCACTGAGCTGCCCTCCAGGTGCAAATATTAAAATATTATTTATGCAGCAAATGTCTGGGATGTATATGTGCATCTCAGCTACATTTGGGCTGTTAAAAAAAAATGTTGTGACTTTGGAGGGCTTTTAGAGGAATGGTGCACACCAGACTGTATATATTGTGGGTAGCTCTATACCCTGTTTTCCCATCCTTGTCAGTTTCAGAAGCCTTTTCTTTTTCTAGTCTCTTCCTCCTTCTTTAACTGGAAAATCTCTTTCCAGTTATCCAGTTAATTCTCAATGGAAGCATTCCTGTTTTGCTAACTAAATACTTAAATTATAGCTGGTCCTTGACCCACAAATATCTAGGAAGTACATCTATTTCCAGTTCCAAATTCCAGAAGGGGCTTCTGTCAACAGGACAGAACATGGTTTTCAGACCTCATCCTGAGAGTTTATCAGCCATCTGTTTGCTGCATGATGCAATGTTTAGCATTGAACAGCAGTTTTCATTCAACAATACTGCAGTCACTCATTCCCTACTATTAAAAAGTTTGGGAAAAGTGGCGCTGTTTAATCTGTCTGAGACACTAACTACTATCTTTACTTCTGAGAAATGTAGGTACCATATGTTTCCCACAACATTTTTCAAGCAAATCCAAGCACTCCGCTTCTTCCTCACCACTTGTTTGTCGTTCTTTGGGACGTAGCAAAATTCCACAATGATGATGGTAAAAGCAGTTGGTTTTAGTTGTAGATCTTGACTTGTGTTTCAGACTGCTGTGAGTAATTGGGTCAGACCACAGACCAGTAAAGGTTATGTAGACTTTCTCTGTCACATGAAGTCATCTCAGTTCTTAGTCCCATTGCAGGCAGGAATTTTTTTTTCATCATTCCAAAAGGCTTCTGTTTGTTCAACATGGATACCACTATAAATAGGAAGAAAATTCAGGAGGCCCAAATGAAAAAATATTTCTAGCTTATCTCCAAGGCAGTCCAACTTCAAGAACAAAATGTTCTTTGTATAGTCAATACAGGCAAGAATCATTCCTCTTCCTAGATACCCATAAAAGCTGAAGCACATAGCACTCTGAATTGTCCCACTTAATTAAGGCATCTGAAGGATAACTCCAGCTTCTGCTTTTGGGTAACCCCCATCTTGGCAGCCTGGGTGGGAGCCCATGCCTGATGTGTTGCCTGTGGAGTCACAAAGAGTAAGCCAGGACAGTCACTACTGAGATCTTGTCTTGCTCCAAGGACCTCACTTATCTAAGCCACCTATGTTGTGTACCTAAAATATGCCTGTCTAGATTCCTTCTGATGTAGACTGTGCTGTATATGAGAGACCGATGAAATGTTTGAAAAATTGATGAACTTTGAGTCTTTTAATAATAATAATGGTGCTCACTGATGAAAACATTAATTATTAAAAATTTGTGTTGCAGAACAGAGGCAAAAGTCTGGTCACCACTTGTAAGCGAGGAGGGAAAGACACATCCTTATAAGATGAATCTGGCCTCTGAACCACAGGTAAGTCCTGGAATAACTGCTCTTGTTCCCTCTTACTCCTGTGAGAGAAATTCTGGGCCTGATCCTTCAAGGAGCTGAGCATATGCCACTCTGTTGATCATGTTGGGGGTAGCATCATGCCCCATACTGTCAAGAGATCATGGAGATCATGTGGCCCTTGGAGGCCTTGAGAGACAGACTTCCTCCCTCATGGCCAGAAGCCTGCTGCTGTGGAGAGCTAATTGGGTGCCATGACTAAGGTAACCTGCTTCGGTCAGAGGTGTCTCCTGCCATCTGCATGCTCACACCTACCACAGGGCACAGAAGGCACTGCAGAGGCACTGTGGCTCAGTGAATTGTTGCTACTGTGCTAAGCCACTTGGTTGTCATAGATAGAAAAGACTTGAGGGGTGAGGAATATTATTCACTCAGTGTTTTCTCTTGGTTTGGTTTAGATTTTTTTTCTTACTGAGTAAGCTCTTAGCAGTCTAACTGTGGAGAAAGTGGAAGAGAAATACACGAGCATCTTACATTTTTATCTGTGTGGCAGATCATGCAGCCTCTGTCTAGGAAATTGGTTTTGTAACCTGTTGACGGCCTTGCTTCATTGGCCTGCTGCTTCTGTCAAGTAAGCGTAGTAATAACAGGATCTGTCTAAGGGCATTGCCTGGGCTAGATTTAGAGGATTACACTGCAAAAAATCTAAAATAACACACTAAAGTCAGTAGCATTCCTCTGGATTTTCACTGGGGCAGTGACATGGCCCCAGTGGATTCTGGCCCAAGCACACATCCCATGCGAGTCTTTCTAGCAAAATAAGTAGACTATAAAACTAGTTTGACTCTGCAATTAATTAAGCAGTAACATAGCTGTTTTGGTTGGAAAGGACCTGAGACTAAAGCAGCACATGTGCAGCAATACCCTGCCCAGACCTTGGCCTGGGATCTGTCCATGTCCTCTTTCACATCAGGCTTCTCTGTGTTGCTTGGCCCAACAAATTGGTGTGGCGTTCTCCAGGTATTTCATAACTCTGCCAAGGCACAGTGTGTGACTGAGCCATTTGGACTTAGTTTGATCTGGAGCCGTGTAGTGACACCTGTCTGTGACAGTGTTGAGCTGAGGTCTGGTCTGTGTCTTCTGCTGCCCAGGTTTTGGAAAGGCTCTGCTTCAACCTTGAGACTTGGGGCTATCTCTTGCCAAAGGAGTGGGGCAGAGTCTGCACTGGGGCTTTGCTGCAAGGATGCAGAGAGCTGGCATTTAATTCAGTAGAAGACTCAATCCTAGAGACCAATTTCTCAATGCAGCCATTAGCAAGAATTCAGCTAAATGCCATAAAATCAAACATTCAGCACAACACATGCCCTAAGTGGGATTTTAAAGTAGCTCACTAATTTTAGTTAACTGCATCAAGAAACCTGCTGCTGAGCTCCACTGTCACTCACTGCCCCACCACATTTTCCCCCCAGTCCGGCGTGGATAGATGGTCAGGATTTAACAGTAATGCTGGTGGAAGACATCCTCTCCTAAACCCTAACCTCAGTCTTAGTCCTGGTTCTAGTTCTGGCCACTGGATAGATATGCTGATACTGCTAGTTTGTAAGTATATTACAACTGAATTTATTGGTAGAAACCTGTAACTGACTTGAGCAGGAGAATTTGATGCACAACTGAGTGTGGAGAAATTTGTGTTACAGAGCTTATCTCTGAGCAGTGACCATTGTCTTAATCTTGTACTAGAAGTCAATGGTTGCCTGAAAATTAGGCTTTGACCTCTTTAATGCTTGAAGTGTTATTTCCTGGTGTGAGAGGAACATTTAAACTCACCGAAGTCTTGTCTTTTCTTATTCCCTTCCTTTCAAATAAAGTGAATTAAATAATTTGCAGTTGTGTATGTGAGTGGAGCTTGCTGTTGTTTAGAGCACTGGGCTTAAATTTAAAGGGCTTTGCTTGCTGCATACTCAGACAGGAGCTCAGCTTTGTGAGGGGAGATGCATCATGTCTGCAAACCACAAGTTCCTATTTACTCTTAAGGCATAACAGTGCCTGAACATCCTAATCTGCTATGCCAAAGTATCAGGAATACCATCAAGTTGCAAGGTTGTGGGGTTTGTTGTTCGGTGGATTGTTTGGGGTTTTTTTCCCATTTCCTTTTTCAGTAGCTGACTACAGCAAGTAAGTTTCATAGTGAGGTCTTTTTGCTTGGACCATGAAATCAGAAGAGCATGCTGATTCCTGCCAGAGCATGTGGCAAGTGTTGGCCAAATTGCTCTGGGGCTGTGTCTTTGCAGCATCATCTGTGGTTTTGGCCAGGCCTGCTGCAAATCAGCAGAAGCAAAGTGCAGAAAATGCTATGTGTATGTATACCAACATGGCAAACTGCTATGAATTTTACCACAAAGATGCTGATATCATTTTTCCATCAGGACTGGTTGAAGCTGTGAGTAGAGTTGAATCTTCGAAGGCAAAACTGAGCTGTTCAGGTTTTTTTAACTTGCTGGCCAGTAAAAATAGTATCTTTGCTTTTCTTGGCAACAATCTAGTGCAGAACACTATTAATTCACTAACCAAAGAAAATACGACGTGCTGAGTCCAAGTAGTTTGTTTAAATCGTGGTCCAGGGTCCTCTGACAATGGTTCTCATTGGATTTGCACGTGGTCATTTCAATGCAGACATAAAATCATACATGTGAATAGCCTTACTTCAGGCTCAAAAAAAAAAAAAAGCTTTAAAACCCTTTCTATGGAAATTGACTTATTCAGATATATTACCGTATTTCTTAGAATTAGTTTGTTAGATGTTGCCTCTTCTACCTTTGGTATCTTAGAAGTTTTTCATGCTTGTCCACCTTCTTTTTGTCTTCCCATTTTACTGATGTAGCTGCTAGATCTTTGCAAAAAATCTTGCAAAATAACTTAATTTTTAGTTTATCTCAGGAACCAGTGCTTAAGAGCTTGTCTATGAGTAGCTACATATTTTAAGATTGCTGCTTACACATTTTTTACCCCATTTGAAATGGACTGTTTGTTTACTGCTGCAATCCTTTTGGAGGCTGATATTTGGTGACATGCTGCATCATGCTGGTAGAAGTGTTTTCCCTTACTTGGAATGTGCATTCAAGATACTTTTATTTGCCTTTGGAAAATAAAAAGGCATTCTACAGCTTCCCATGCATTCCCCGAAGTCCTGAGTCCAAAGACTGACTTCATTGTCTAAGCTGATCTTTGCCCATGAAAGAGCTACAGTCTTATTATTATTTCATTGCCATTATCCTTATTCTTCTAAATTAATTTAAACTGAGGCAAGAGTGATGACAAAATTGCATTTCATCAAAAGGGGCAGCAGCTTGTCGGTGTTGATGGCTCAGCAGCTGACCTAGCTTTGTTTTGGTGCCCATGGCAACACTAGAGGAAGGAAATAACAGTCTTCTTAGCATATTTACTCAGTTAGTTCACTTGCACTTCTAACCCAGATCCTAAGTCTGATAACTCAGTGGCATTTTCCCATCAAGATCTTTTCCTCACAACAGTGGGAAAGACTAAAATAACATGTCTGCCTCTCCCTTCTGCTTAATGTCTCTTGAAAAAAAGTGGTCACAGCAAGAGAGAACAAATTACTTGGTGTCTAAGGTAATTTTAATGCTTATGATACTGACCAGAGACCAGCATAGCTCCAAGTCACCTGTGCCCTCTGGTGATCTTGAGCCATGCAGGGCCCAAGGGGCTGAATTGCCTCTTGGTATAATAAACAGTAAAACTCTGTATCTTCTGACTGTGCCAAGTCTTGTCAGATCTGGGGTCTGTTTTGGTTTTCTGTTTGTTTGGGTATTTTTGTTTTGTTTTGGGTTTTTTTGTAAGATACAGATGCCAGTGGGGTCCAGGTCTCTGTTTTTGCTGAGTGAGCTAATGTAGAAGAAGAGCTGAGAGAGTCCAGCTTCAAGGATAGTTAATACCCAGACTGTCTCCAAAAAATAAGTCTGGCTTCCTGAAGATTATATATCCTCTTTGCAATAAGGCACAAGTATAACATCAGACCTTGAGAATGCCAGTGAAAACTCTTGCTTTCAGATGGACAGTTCAGCTCTTTGTAATCACAAAAAGTAAGGACTTTCAAACGTAAGGATTTTTTTAAAAAGAAATAACCTTCAGACAGAGGTTAGCAGCTGGAGGGTCTCTGAGGGTGAATCAGGGTATTTTTAGGATGATAGAAACAGACAGCCACTTCTGTCTTCCCAAAGCTTCTTAAGTGTCTGTCCTGTGTTCTTACAGAGTGATGTCATTGTTTCCATCGTATGTATTTTATTTCCTTGGATACGAAGCAGGCGGGGGCTATAGAAACTGGGTGTGTGGCTGGCTTGGCCTTTGATAAGGCTGTGCATGTGTGGGCAATGCATGAAGCAATAGGTATATAAAGTAACAATACTGACACTGGGAACTGTGCTGGCATATTGCGACCTGCTGGTTTTGGTTAAAAGGCGTTACTGCATGGGTGTGGAATGTGTCAGGGACATGGAGGGAGAGGATGTGGGAAGCTAGTCTTGTTGTTTTACCCCCCTACAATAACAAAACCCCAAACCCTTCCTAATTCTTAATCAGATTTCAAAGCATTGCAAAAGATCCTTCCATAGCTGAAAAACCCCAAACAATAATAGAGGGAGAGGTGAAAGTAAAGGCATTTATCTTAATACTTGTGATCACAGCTGATGAAACATAGCATGGGGTAGAGTTTGCCACGAAGATGTCCTCTCCTGAGCTGTTGCTTGTGTTTGGCACAAGCAGCCTCCCCCCAGACATGCCAGCTGGTCAGAAGTATGGCCTTTGCTCCCTGGGTGGCTTTGCAAGGGCAAGGATGAAGCTGGGGGTTTGCCTGCTGGTCTCTGCTCTCCTTCACTGCTCACAGGACCAGAGTGCTCTCGCTCTCTGAGGTTTGGTCAGGGGCCCATTTTCTTAGAGCTGAGTAAACATTTGTACTGAGAAATGTTTCATCTTGTTTCCTTTTGGCGTGGCTCTCGAGGTGTGCAATCCAGCATTGCCTGCCCTGAGCTTCTAGGCTCTGACTTGGGATGCAAAAACATCCCACGTTTCTGAGGCCCTGTGAGGCAGCAAGTTTTGCTGGTTCACTTGGCTGCTTCAAACTCATGTGGGGACTTTTGTTTTTCCCTGCAACTGCAGTGTCTGGCTGCTGATTTTTAGTTTGTGACATGAGGTGAGAGTGAATCCCTGACTCCAAGAGCTGGCCAGTCTGTAAATTGCTACTGCACACCTGAAAGTAGTTTTTGGCTTCAAGCAGCCCCTTGCTCCATGTTTGACCTCTCTTTCCTCCAGAGACTGCAGAGGTAGCTGGGGCAGGGGCAGGGCAGGCAGTGACAGTGCTGCAGTGCTGTAGGTGGGTGGCAGCAGGGCATTCGCCAGCATCTATGAGAGCCTAGCCCAGCTGAATGCCTTCAGGCCATGCTGTGGGGAGAGGAAAACCCCATTTAACTGGAGAGGCTGCTTGACCCTGCACATCATGGTTTAGTTTATTCAGTGAGTACAAAAAGCCTCCAGATTTTTCCTGTTTCTGGTGGTGGTGACGTCCATACATGCACAGGATGGCCTTGGCCACATCACTGCAGGGTGGAAGGGACGCAAGAGCCCACCCTCACCTCAGTCTCCTCCCAGCCTGCTCGAGGGCACGAGGCCATGGAGGTGTCCAGATGGCTTTATGCCACTGGGGCGTAGGATGAGTCCCAGCCCAGCTGATAGAGGTGGCTCGTCCTGGGCAGGCTGTCTGTCTGTCTGCTTCACTGACAGCAGGGAATTTCCCTGAAGCCATATGCCCCCATTCCCAATGGTGGGAATGGGTCCAGTGGTGGGAGTGTTGGTGAGGAGGAAGCAGACACCCATGCCACCAGCCACTGGCTGGCCCCAGGCACAGCAGTGACAGCTGATGTAGCTGTGGGGATTTCACAGCCTGGACATCAGCGTCGCTGAGGATGGCCTCATATGAGAGGGAGGAAGGGCCATTGTTTTCCCTGATAATTCCCCATGACGCAGCCTGCAGCTGGTGCAGTAGGAAATGATGATCTGCTTCCTGCCCTGGCACAGGGATGTTTTCCCCATCCTCACAGCCTGGCACCTTTGCTGGCAGCTCTCTGCTGGTGGGCTGTGGTGGTGGCAGTGGGACCCCCTTAGCACCCAGCTAGAATGGCTGTGTTGCAGTGCCTGCAGTGCACAGCTGTGTCCCATCTGCCCCAGAGAGGGTTACTGCCACGAACAGCCAGCACCCAGAAAACTCTTCTGGCAGAAGATGTGCATGTCTGACCTGAAGCTACAAATGTTGTTTGTCCTTGGAACTGAAAAATATCTTTTTTCTGTGAGATGGGGACATTTGCAGTGGGAGAACATGGGGTTGTGCTCCAAAGCCATTTTGAGCTTGTTCTTATGAGGGGTAGTTTTAGATGGGGGGGGCTGTTGAAGGAATCACTTCAATCTCAAAGTGAAGCGAGAGTTCAGAAGCAGCTGGAAGAGAAGTCTGTGCAGTTGTTAATCTAGTTTAGCTTGGTGTAGTCTGCTGGGTCGTCTAGAAACATAAGCCCTGCAAAGGAAGGAGGGGAGCAAGGCTGATGTCTGTGCAGATAAAGCTATTTAACTATCATGGTGTCAGTTTAGAGTGGTGAAATAACGCTCTTGAATATCGTACCTGTTAGCTTGGAGCTTCCATACCCCAGCTCCAGACCAAAATAACCACTGCTGGTATCCCTGCTCGTTGCTGACAGGGCTGGTGTAGGAGAACTGAGGTAGTGCCACAGCTTGCAGGGAGAGTGAGACAAATGCTTGCAGTTCTGCCTGCATGTGCCAACAGAAGGTGTCTCTGAAGGGATCTAACCTTAATCACACTCCTCTGTACTGCTCTCAAAGAAAGGTCATGTCCTGACTGTATAAGATCATGTCGTTTTAGCTGACTGCCAGTTCTTCCTCTACAAACATACCATTGCTTACTGCTCTTGCAGCCTGTGCTCCAGCCAGGAATGCTGTTTAATGCTACTTGCACCCTTTTCCTTGTGTTAGTCCTGGGATTGCCACAGCCTTAGAGATGCTGCAAACCCTAGGTATCTCAAATGCATAGACTAGGTACTGTCCCCACATATATGCACAGTGTAGCTGGGTTTTTGCACTAATGTTTTCCACTTGCCTGCTGGTGGACTGGTTTTTGAGAGTGTCACTTATCTGATTTTTTTTTTTCTACTATTGTGAGAGACTGTCACATAAACATGATTCCAGGAGCTGGGGTTTTAACAAAACTGCACAGCACAGGCCCTAGGTTGGCAGTTCTGGAAAATCCCTAGATAAATGTATTTGACAGTGAGAACACATTGTCTTTTGATCTTAGGATCATGAAGGCACTTGTTCTTTGCAAATTCCTTCCACAGCTTGAGCAGAAAGAACAGCATGGTGTAACAGGAAGTGCTGGAGAATTTGGCTTATCCAAGTGCCCTTTAAAATGCTACTGCTATTGTAATACTTGTCTGTATACTCTTGGGTTATTCACATTCTGTGCTGTTCTCCACATAAGATTTTTCTAATCTTCAGACACCAGGTTTTGCACCAATTTTTCTGTTTAACTGTTAAACTCTCTTATAGTCAGTGACCTCTATACACATGAGAGGTCCTGGGGATGTCCCAACACCAACACTTGGTGTTACTACACAGCAGAAAATCTACCTGGTGTCCAAAAGTAGGACAAAAGTTCTTATGTGGATTCTGTGCTGAAGTGTATGTTGCAGTTCTTAGAGTCAAGGCACTAATGTGATGTCAGTCTCTCTTCTCCATGTAGCTGCCCTGTTTTCTCAACACTTGCTGGAAGATAAGGATCCTTGAGGCTTCCATCACTGTCAAACTCAATTTGGCTTGGCTGACACATTCAAAGATTCAACATGCCCATGTGCATGTTGGGTATGTAATTGAGCCACCTTGCTTTATTAGCAAACCAGAGTTTAAAAAAAGCTCCAATCAAACTGTAAATTACTTCCCTTTCCTTAATTCTTGATTAATGCTTAAATGTTTCCTCAACAGATCTTGTGACATGTTTTCAACGTGGAACCTATTTGACCTAAGAATATAGCCCCCTTAGCCCAAACCTTCTGCCTCAGTCTCTCATGAAACTGACTATTTATGTGCATATCTGTAACCGTCTCCCACTCATGCCCTCTGAATGGTGGGCCACAATGTGTATTTAGTGCTGATATAACTGTTCCCCATGGTTTGATATATGGGCTTAAGTAATTGTTTTTTTGCTAAAATCCACACTTTTGCCATGGGAAGGACTATTTTCACAAGTCCTGTTATGTGGTTTGAATGAGATTGCAACAAAGGGAGATTAGCTAATTGCTCCAGGGTCATTTTCCCTTTGGTGTGTGGGAAAGTTTCATGGCTAACATCCATACATATTGGCCAGAAAGCTGTGGGAGAGCAGCCTTGTCAGTCCACACCTGAACATCTTGAGCTACCCCGCTGATTCCAAATGACTTGTAACTCATGAGGGCATTTGGATCCAAGCCGCTCTTCTCTGAGGGATTCTATGCTCTGCTTGATGCCATAAATAGCATTCGAATGCCATGAAGTGAGATGACTCCCATCTGTCAGTCTGGGAAGGCTAGCCAGCTGCCCAAGGAAGTCTGGAGACAAAGAAGTGATTTAAGGAAAAATCTGTAGGGGGATTTAAGTAATACTTTTTTCTAATGAGTGTTTATCTTGTAACTATATCTCCATCAAACATTGTGAGATGTTCATAGGGCAGTAAAAGCTGACGTCATTGCTGTAGAAGTCAGTGCCTGTTTAGAGTGGGAGTGGGAACTAGTTGTGTTAGAGCTGGGACCCATGGGCCCAGCATGCTGATAAGTACCCCCTTTCATCCTGTGCCATTGGCTGTTAGCCTTGAATTGAAGCCATGCTCAATCTCTATGGCTGGCTGAAACATTTCAAAAATCATGTTTTGGTGCCATCTCTTAGCCCTCGATATCTCAGCTCTTAGTCCTTTCTTATGCCTGCTCTAGTGAGGCCAAATTATACTTTCTTCTTCCTTTGGTCAAGCATCTTCACTGGGGAGAAATAAACCCTGGATGTTGTTATCTCTGCCACAAGGCTGCTAATTCCCAGCCTGCTGAACTGGTGATAGGGCTTAGAAATGTCCTCATTTTTGCTAGCACTCCCTGTGATTAAGAAGAGTCCTAGCTCAAGTCTTACTTAACTTGGATTTGCCCTTTTTCTTACTAGACTGCAGCCTGTGTTTCTAAGTGTACACTACTACTACTGATGTTATTGAGAAGTGCTCTTCTTTCTGCCCCTCATCTTCATTTTTCCATAGAAATCAACCCTGCTCTCAGGAACTGCAAGGAATGCTTAAAATCTGTAGTCTTGCATGAGAAAATCGGTCCTGTAGCTTACTGTAGGCTTGCAGGAGCTCCCAGGCGTGTCCACCTTGAGCTAATAGCTCTGGCAGTATTTATGAGCTTTTATGTTACCAGTATGTCAACACTGAAATGTCCTGAAGCTGACCAGGATGGGCCCTCATGCCATGTGGAGGATGCTCACTTGCTTTGGTGGTTGTGGTCACCTGCTCCTCAGCTGAGACCACACATGAAGGCCACCACTGCAGTGGCTGCGGTGCTGCCCTGTCACATCCACCTGCATGCCTGAGCACCTCTGATTGTTGCCTCTGCTCCTTTGCATGCAGGAAATAAGGCACATAGGAAGTGCACACAATCGGAGTGCAGTGCCCTTCACTGCTGCCACAGCTTCTGCCCCCAGGGTGATCACTGCTCAGTACAACAGCCCAGCAGGCCTCTACTCCTCAGAGAACATCCAGACCTTCAACAGTGCGGTGGAGACAAAAACGTCACCTGGGGCCCTGGAGCCTACCAAGCCGTAAGTACCTCCCTCACCTCCCTCCCTCCCTGGGCCTCCAGGGAAAGGCTTCAGGAGACATGAGTTCACTGCAAAGGTACCAGTCTGTTAAACCAAGAAAAGCTCTCTTTCAGGACAACGGAAATAGAAGAGGCACAAGCGTGGATGTTGTTCCCAGGGACAGGGCTCGGAGGAGTGGGGAGCGTTTCATGAGGTGCAGACATGAAATTAATGCTGTTGTGTTTCTTTGTTCAGCAGAGACCGACGCAGTTTCCGCGTGCGTTCAGCATGACATACCAGCCCGCTGCTCTGAGCAGGTGCCTGATAGCTTGTTACAAGCACTTCCTAAAGTTAGTGTTTTGTGCCGGCTTTGCTGCGATGCTGAGCAGGAAAGGCACCAGCTAGTGCACACCCGTCCCTGTTCCCAGCTGGCCTGGGATTCATAGACAGGCTCTGCCTTACTTTGGGTATTTCTGTGTTTTATTATCAAACTTCGCTTTTCACAGGAATTTTAAAAAGTAGCAGAAACATGCATTCCTGTGTGAGGGGTTTTATGTATGAAATTGGAAAGGGTCCCAACGTTAAAATGGCCTGTTCATTTTTATGTTTGCAACTGAACTTCACCAAAGACGTTATTTTATCCTAGATTTTCAAAATTTCCCTTTTCTTCACTGGAGGTGAAGGAGCTCCAGGAGCTTAACCAGGAGCTTCCTTCTTAACCAGGAGCTATCTGAAAATTTTCTGGCTGTGACGGTCAGGTTGCTTAACTGCCCTAAGTCCCTGCATAGCAATATAAAACTGCCCAGAAGGCTTTGGCTATTTTTATAATAAAAGCTGGAAGACAATGCTTTTGGTAATACTTGATTAAATTTCTGACTTGGGAAAAAGTCAGGCAAAAGTAACTTCAGCCTCTGCTGTTGCAGTGTACAAAGACTTGATTGTGGTTTAACACCAGCCTGACAACTTTCCTGTGAGTGAAACCAGCTCCTTGCGTTGGCAGCCCAGTCTGCAGCACGGTCCCTTCTAGGTAGTTGCAGTGCTGCCACTGGCAGATGAGGTGACACATTGTTCTTCATTTGCTTCTGGTAGACTCAGCAGCCTCATTCAGGGGCTGGGCAAAAGCAGAGCAAGGACAAGGAAAATCTGACATTGCATTAACCTGGTGGGACCAGCTGGCAGTAGATACCATCCCTAGTCTACTCTGGTGTCCCCTCCATGTGAGAGCGCTCCCTGGGAGCCAGGTAATTTGGCTGGAACATTGTTACTGATCCCTTTCTCTTGCAGGGATCAGCAAAGAGGTGGATTCCTTCTAGGGCTGTGGCTCACTCTGCTCCTCCTAGCAGGAACATCCATTGCTAGCCCTGCTTCATCTTGGATACATGGCATCTCTTTCATCCTTTCCTTGCTGAAACACAGCAAGTTGCAAAAGAATGCTGGGAAAACAGTGCATGAGGCTTTGATGCTCATATGCTTTTGTTTACAGAGTCATCAAAAGCAAATGAATTACTGCTAGTTTTCAGTGAGAGACAGGGACCTCAGCCTGCTGTTAAAAACCCACTGTAGTCTCCCCAGTGCACAAGCACTGGATGTCTAGGCTCTCCTTTCACACACCCTTCCAACTGCCTTTAAATTCCTGCCCATCTGTTTTGCTGAGTTATTTGGTACATACCTGACCTTGTTCTGGGTTTACGTGACATTTATCTGCCTCCCCATCCTGCACCCTGCAGATACACAACCTATCTGAACCCAGCACTTGATCCTGCCACTGCACATGGTGACGTGACTGGAGACCTAATCCATGCTTCATCCTTAGAGGGTGTGTGGTATAAATGGGATATAGTACATAGAGAAATGAAAGAAAATATCTCCAGTGTATTTGATGTCACAAAGCAGGTGGGGATGGAGAAGCCCCACTGCTGAGCACATCTGGTTTGGGATGGGAGGTGAGATTACTCCTCAGCAGGATGCCAAGGCTAGCTTTGAGGAGAGCAGCAGTGAAGGTGGCATTCCTTGTCTGGACAGTGGGACCACAAATGTGTGCACAGGGAGTTACTGTATAATGAAACCCCTGCTGCCACTTCTTCATTGCTTTTACAACCCATGCATTTGCTTATCAGTGGAGTGCTTGCTTTTTAGTTTTTGTGTGGACACACCTGGAGTGTGAGACCAGAGGCACAGCATTAGCCAGAAGCCTGTAAAGTTGTGTATTCAGAGGTGTGTCCTTAAGACAGTATTCTGCAGCTGCTTGATGGCTTGAAGTATTTGGCTTTGCCCTTCATTAATTTCTTTCTTCTTTCCTTTCTTCCTCCTCTGCATTTTCCCCTCAATTTGGCAATGTAAACCCCAAACAAACCTTGAACAACCCCACCTCCCACTGCCCGTGTGGATGCGTGGGCTGGCAGCCGCCCATCGCCGGTGGGCGCGATGCAGGCTCCCATCGCCTCCGTGTACGACCCTCTGCAGAGCTCCGAGCTGCGGCGCAGGCACAGCACCTCCTCCAGCCCCAGCCAGGTCCGAGTGGGGCCTGAGCAGCTGAAGCATGCAGCCCAGGTCTGCCCCAACAGCCCTGTGGAAGTGGAGGTGCCGGGACTCAAAGTGCTGCACGTGCAGTTCAATTCTCCCCTGCAGCTCTATTCGCAAAGCAACATCATGGACACCCTGCAGGGGCAGATCTCTTCTGTTAGCCCTGATTTCCCCAGGTAACCTGCCCACAGCCTCTGCAGCCAGCTCAGTACATCTGTCATCTGCATTTTGGTGTCCACGAGTCCGTCGTTCCTGTCTGTGGCTCATGGCGTTGTCCGGTCACAAGAAAACAGCATTTACATTTCACCCTTCCAGTGTCAGTGCATGACTCTTCACAGGAGCTTTCTCTGCCTTGTGTCTGTGCCCAGCACCATGGGAAACACCAAAACATGTTTTTAGTGTGTCAGTATGTCCATTGCCCCTGCCCACCCACACAGCAGGACTTGACAGCACCTGGTGGCTTTTCTGGAGGAGTCACCTGCAGCAGATGGGTTTGCTGAGGGTAGGAGAGTGCTTTATCCTGGAAACTGGTATTTTTCCTGCACTTGAAATAACTTTTGTTGTTTGTGACTGACAGGTGCTGCCAGTCTGGTCTTCTGTTTCATTGGCCATGAGTGTGTGTTGGGCATGTTTCATTTCAGGCTGAAGCAGGTTCCCATGCTCTCCATGTCTGGCTGACAATAGTCAAGAGTTTGGAGCAGCCTGGCAGGCACCAGACACGTGGAGGGACAGCCTGTGTTCCCACCCCTGCCCGCTTGTCTGCAGAGGTTGCTGCAGCACAGGCTACCTCTGCCCAAAGGAGTGGAGGATGCTCAGCATGCTCTGAGGTCTGCAGGACTTGTGGTGAGCCTCAGCATCACAAGGTCTGGGTGCTGTTTGATGTCATCTTTGTGGTACTTGGGAACCCCCTGGCCTGTGCCTTTAAGTGACAGCCTCTGAGTTTTACAGGGAGGACTTTAGTGTCAGGACAGGTGAAACAGAAAGCACGTTTAGCTGTCTCACAGGAGCAGTCCAGGGAAGGATGAATTGTGAACCTTCTGCTATGTGACCAAGCAGCTTGCATCTGTGTGACATGTGGCCCAGGACAGTGATCCATCCCAGGGCTTCCATGGGGCAGAAAAAGGACACAGACAGATCTCATGGCTCCTGGACTGCTCACAGTTCCCTTCTGGGAACCATGTACTTCAAAGCAGAAAAGCTGGTGTCCTCAGCCCTGGACCCACACAGCCAAGCTTTGCCATGTGCCAGGAGCCAAAAGATAGTGGGAGGCTGAGGATTTACTCCTGCCTTGTTACTCAGTGCAGTTATTTGCTGTAAGTCAGTCCTCTGGCTTGTAGTCAGTACCATGCACACCAGAAGTGGTCACACTGCCAGCTCTCTGTGCTGGCCTGGAGAGCTGATAGTGCCCACGAAGGAGCCCCAGACATCAGCAATTGTTTATTGGCAAAAGGGAGTGCTCCAAGCACTGGGCCTTCCTGCAGCCTTGAGACCCTTGTAAGCTTTGCTAAATAGGCTGGCATAAAATAGTAAAATATCATTAGTAAAAAATAAATTGCTTTATGAAGATTCTGTGCAAAGCTGTGTCTTTATGGTTTTTATTACTATCTTGTCAATATTTAAGGCTCAGTGATCAAGCATTAGTCAAGTGTTGCAAGTTTCCCATGGTAGCAGCAATGAGATCCAGTAACGGTTGTGTAAGTCCAAGTCCCAGTAAATGTGGTTGGGGTTGTTCCCTACAAAGTTTCTGCATGAGGGAAGTTGTGTGCATGGAAAAAGACACCAGTTGCTGGTGATTCCTGCAGATAAAGTACCTGTGTAACAGGAGGTGCCAAAAATCAGCTGGCATGCAGAGACTCAGTATCTTGCAGGTACAATTTCTGTGCCTGTGGCCTTGCCCTTTCAAAAGATACACATACTTTTTGGAGATGTTGTTCAATTTAAGCAGCATAGGCCTTCTGCCCTGACAGTTTGATGTATTTTACTCTGCTGGTACAAATCTGAGTTTGATGGTTTTTATAGCCTTTTGGACATCTTGTATATTTCCAAGTGGACATATAGGGTGCATACCTGGGAGAGCTGATGTGTATGTTACACACTGCCACAATGCATGGTTGAAATGTGATGGCTTCGTTTGACTCTAATGCTTTTTAAGATTATTTAGCCTCTGCTTTTTGGATGCATGTTATTGAAACATTCTTAGTATGCAAACTGCAATGAAAGGCTTCTTGCATAATGTTTTTATGGGTGGATAGAGCAGTGGGAGTATATGAGTTTACATGAGATGAATGTAATGTGGAGCATGGGATATCTTCTGTCTAATAGAAGGCACATAAATATTTTTATTTGGGTAAGAAGCTTCAGTAACTGAGATTCAGGCTTCAGCTCTTTGCATGTCTAATGTTCTTCCTGCTCCACTGAAAATTGCTAAAGATGGAAACATTTTATGAAATCCTTTTTATGGAAATAGCATTTATAACTCATGTGATGATTTTACTTCTGATGCTTGAATAATTTATTATGTAGAGTAACTCCCAGATGACTCTATTGGTCATTGGCATTGAAAGTATGCAGTTGCCTCCTTGAGAAAAAAATTTCCCTCTGCAATTTAGTCTGAACTTCAGGATGTTTATGTGATTTTCATGCAATCACACAGTGCAAGAATGGTGAAACCAAATAGATCATTTACATTTATACTACATTATAGAATTGAGCTATCAGAGGAGATTTGTCAGCTGTTTCATTTTATTGTATATGTTTTACTGCAGCTACAGAACACAAGGCAGGCAGGAACTTCCTGTGTCCTTTAGTCCATCCCTTAGTCCAGGATTTGGCAATTTAAACCACTGATATAAATAATTCCCACTATATATTTGTCCACACTATTTTCAAATCCTTTAGTTTGGAGGTTCCTCACCTGCCCACAACAATCTTCTCTGGTATTTCAGTGTCAATAGACATAATGGAAAGCTTTTCCCAAGGGATATTCTAAATACCCTCCTGCAGTTTAAGCCTATCCTCTACCCACTGCATGTAGAATATATCTTAGGTACTTCCTCCAGACTTTTTTTATCCTCAAAGACCCTTTGAGTGGCACAATGATCTCCTTTTCCATGACCCTGTGCTGTGAAAAGCTGCCCCTGAAGCACCTTGGGCTCTAAGTCAATGATGCAAGTCCCTCATGACATGAGGGGTGGGAGCAGCACTTCAGGGCAGCTGCACTGAGGGCTTAGCCTTACCTGCAGAAATCTCTGCCCTCCACCTGCTCATTAACCTTAGTAAAATACTGTAAGTGGGCTCCACCTAGAAAATTGAAATAGTAACACTCACTTGAAAACCAGACTAAATTACTTCCAATCAGAGAATCTTCTAGTTAGATCCTACAGCTGTTACTTTGTGAAGGTGACATTTACAAGCAATTCATAGGGTACTTGCAAAGATTTTTTTTACTGGAATAAACTTTATTCAGTTTGAGATTCACAGTGGTGTAAAGTAGTTTATACATGCAAGGAACGTGTGTGGATGGCACAGCTACTATGTGGGATTCCCATCCCAGCACATGAATTCTTTACTTTCCTATTGACAGAGCTGTGGTTTCCTGGGCAGGTTTTAGTTGCTGGCGTGTGTGGTAATTGTGAAGCAGGGCAAACCCTGGCTGGGGGCAGTGGGTGAGCAGCTGCTGAGAGCAGCGTGGGCAGACAGCCCAACGTGCCTGTCCCACCCGCAGCTCCTCCAGCACCTCCGTGTTCGTGGCCTCCTGCCGTGTGTGTGCTTTGCACCTTCATTCTTCAGTCATATGGTGCATCATGAAAGTTTTGCAAGAGGAATTGGCTTTAGTTTTCATCATTTAACAAGAGGATTCTCTGTTCCTTCCACAGTTTAGATCAGCATAACCAGACCCCAGGCAGCATTGCCATAGACAGACAATCTGAGGTTTACAAGATGCTGCAGGAGAATCAAGAGTCAAATGAGCCACCCAGACAGTCTGCTTCGTTTCTTGTGTTGCAAGAGATCTTGGAGTCAGAGGAGAAAGGTGAGTGAGTACCTGATCTGAATGTGCTCTTCCCCTCTGCTGTTCATTGGGTTGAGTAACATTCAAAACTTTATTTTTCATGTAGCTGTTGATTGTTCAAGGTGGCATGTGTAGGTGGCTTCTACAGAAACCTACAGACCCTGGTTACTAATTTGATCCCTTCATATTCTCTCATTGATTAGTTTCAGTGTCTGTGGGCCCATATCATTGCTTAATCACTGAGTGAGCACTCCAGAAATAAACCCTTGCAACATTTAGTATTCAAGAAGGAATTTTTAAAGTTACAAAACCTCATACAGTTTCTAAAATTTTGCCCCCTTTAAGATAGTATTCACTGATTAAAGACCATCTTAGAGTCAAGACTTTGGATGGTATCACAAGATAGTGCTCTTCAGTGAGTCCTATTACTTCTGAACTCCATTCCCCTACACAAGAAGTATCCCCTTCTGCAGCTGAATATAAAAATATAGAAGCTGGATTACAGTGAGCAGTTCATAGCCTTTAACCTCTGAAAATTCACTCATCTTGGCATTCTTGATCTTAGGTCTGGCTTGTACAATTCAGAGCTATAGAATTTAAGATAAAAAAGCCAATTAACTTATTTGGGGGCTAAATTGTGCTCTCTTCTCCCCTTAAATAAAATTAAATAAATTAATGGGAAAAGAATTCCAAGAATGACCTTTTTTTTTCTCCTTAGGCCAGTCTTTTGTGTTATTAGCTTGGCAGTGGTATGTTCAGTTTAATCCAAAAAAAGCTTATGCTGATATATTCACCACAAAGAAAAACAGATCAACCAAGTGCTGGTAGGTCTGAGGGATCTGTAGTGAAACAGCAAAATGACAGAAATAAGGAAGCAATAGGAAAAAAGAAACCAGGATCATGGAGTCTCTAATATGCTGTTAAAATACCTACCCGAAAGAATCTTTTAAATATTGAGTGTTTGCAGCTTGCCCTCAGGGTTCAGCTCCTGCATGGAAGGAGTAGCTCGGACTTCTCCCGAAGCCAAGGTCCTCCCCTGTGCTTAGTAGTGCTGAAGAAGATAAGAAGCAAAAGCCTCTCTGTTTTATCTTTCTTTGAAGATTTGCAGCATTGTTGGGATTCTCTGGCACAAGGTTTGCCTGCCCGTTCCCGGGCCGGGATAGGCTCTGGCATTATTCCACAGTGAGCTGATAATGCCCCCTGGCCCAGCCTGCCGGCCAGCAGCAAACAAGCACACACTGCTGCGAGTCAGATGGTTCTTGTGATAAATGGCACATTGGACGGGCCTTCTCCCAGCCCGGCTGCAGGCAATGCCTTGTGGAGGCAGCTGTGAGCCCGGCTGGGACAAGGCCCCTGGGCATCGCTGACTCTGGGCTGCGCTTTCACCAGCTGAGAGCCTGGGCCAGGCACAGGGCTGAGCGTGGATATTTGGAAGCACCACTGCTGGGCTTTTAAGACCTGACCCTGTGCTCAAAAGTGGAGTTTCACTGGGTGGAACACGCTGCGTTTCCTCTGGGTGTTTGATTAGGAGAGATTTAAAAACGTGCTGTCGATGTTGCTGATAAGAGCAAAGTGCTGGTTGAGGCAAAGGGAGTGAACAGAAGTGATAGGAGTCTGAAAATGCAATTGCTGCTGCTTGCTTCCCAGTGAGGGTCACTTGCAGCACCTCTTGGAGGGCCAGTGGCTCTTGCTATGTTTGGAGGGTTGGGGAACTTGCACCTCTGGACCAGCATCTGCACAGAACTGGGTGTAAACCTCTGTGCTGAAGGCTGCCCTAAAGACAAACCAACGCAGCATCAACTGCCCCACAGCTGAGGTAGGCAGTTCCCCCCTTTTTCCTCCAGCTCTTCTGTCAGTGATGCTGCCCTGGGCTCTGGTGAATCCCTGACATGGCTGGTCACCAGGGGCTGTCTTTGGAGGGTTTTTCTGCCCCTTGCACTGAGAATGCCCATTGGAAGTGTGCTCTTGGTTTGACACTGATCAGAAGGGTTTCATCAGTGTCCCTCACAGTCCAAGGTGTTTCTGGTGAAATATCATGGGAGCCTCCTTCCTCAGCAGCCTCCTTCCCTTGTTAGCTGGTGTCCAACCCCTTAGAAAACTCATATAGATGAGATTAGTCCTATCATTGGTGTCATTTTATAAAAGGCTCCTTTTTTCCTGCAGATATTTAAAGGCTTGCCTCGTATCCCACATCTAGGATCCACTGCTGATTTAGGCATCCAGGTCAGCACAATGTCTCCTGCAAAGGCCCTGCAGGAATTCACTGCCCCAGAGAAGTTGCAATAGGGAGATACCTGGAGCATGCTATGCAATAGGAGGGGAGTGCAAGGTTATCCCCAGTGTCCCAGGGCTCTGCAAGGAGTTTGTTAACTAAATCTTCCAGCAGTCTTGGGGGAACCAACTCTGCTCTAAAACAGACAGCAGATTGGAAAAGGGCTTTGACAGTCCTCCCAACAGAACACCCACCTCTTTCTGAGATTAGATCTGGGAATCAGCTTGACCCTGAGTGTGTGATCAGGACACATCAGGCAGACTCCAGTGCTGCCAAGGCTCGGGGCTTTGCTTTGCTTTGTGCATCTGTGCATGTGAGACACATCAGCTGAAGTCTGATGGGCTTTTAAGATGAGAAGATAATCTCATCTGACTGCCCACCCACCCACATTTCCAGGGTGAGGTTCAGCTGTGTGCCTCCTCTCCCTCCTCCCCACACATCCCTAAATCCCTGCCCACTCTCCATGCATGAATCCCTGCCTCAGAGCTGGGGTTAAAGAATATCATGCTCCCAGCAGAGCATCTGCTTGGGAGGAACAGCCTCAAGCCACGCATCTCACATGCTCTGAAGCACTCTCCTTCCACCCCCAGGAGACCCTACCAAACCGTCTGGATTTAGGAGCGTCAAAGCCCCTACCACAAAGGTGGCCTCATCGATTGGGAATGCCCAGAAGCTGCCCATGTGTGACAAGTGTGGATCTGGCATTGTGTAAGTAAGCCTGTCCCTGGGGTTGCAGGTGAGCAGCCCATGCCTGTGCCAGGGGCTGAGGTAGTGCACCCAAATAGCTTCACTTACCCACATCCAGTGCATCCTGGAGACTCAAGGCACGTTTATTCTCACCAGCTTTAATAATGCTAACTTTGCAGATCCCTGCTGTGAGGCAGGAGTTGGGTTTCCATCTGCAGATCCGTATCAGTGGAAACCAGAGCAAGTCCCTGTGACTCAAGCCTTGAGGCAGTTGTTGCTGCAGTGTTTGGCTGACCTGAAAGCTGTTTACAGCATTTGGAAACAAAATGACCTTTCCATTCAGGGCCTGTGTATTTAATGAATTTCCTGTCTCGGCGCTCCCAGGCATGGCATGGAGAATTGCCTTGGTGGTCAGAGGCAGTGGGGACTGCAGAGCTGCATTCTGCTCCCCACTCTCCTGCAAGACCTCACACCTCCACTGTGTCTATGCAGACATATTGTTTTTTTGTATTTATGTGGGTAAAATCCAATTCCAACTGACCTGGGGTTTGGTACAGAGCTGCTATATCGTAAGTGTGACCACATGGGGGACCCAGCATTGAAAACCCATGTCTTTGAGTTGCTCAGTTTTTCAACCTCAGATTCTTCCCTGCAGCCCCCTGAACAGCTGACTCCACAGCAGTCAAGTACTGGTAGCCAAACCTGCACTGTCATGGAAGAATTCTGATTTTTCAGATCCTGCCTGCCACAGGCTATCACATTGTTGCTGAGACCCGCTACACTGTAATTGCATGGTCCTGGCATGCCTGGAGCATCTGGACCAGGAGATTCATTAGAGAGGCAATCCATACCCTGTAAAATATGAATCAGAGACAAATCTTGTAATTATTCAACCAGCTGGGTAGGTCTGGAGAGAAAGCACAAGGCCTTGAATAGCACTCAAAACTCATGAATTACAGAAAATAGAGATGGCTGCTGGAACAACATAATATTGGAAAATTTTTGTGGGGCGGATGGTAGTTAACAAACTGTTGTGCAGTTTTTGTAGTTTTCCTAGTCATCTGTTGGGCTGAGCTGTGAAGTCTTCCAATAAGAGCTGGCCTAGATTTGGCTGGACCTGTTCACTGCAGCTCCCAAGCAGCATGTCTGAGATGAAAACCAGGATCTACTTTCTGTGCTTCTCTCACACATCAGTCACTAGCGAAAGGGCAGTGCTGGCTGTGCAGCCTTCATCCCTGCATTTCTACATTTGTTTTGCCATCCAATTAGCTTGTACCTGGATTTTGCTTCCTCTGATGGTCAAGCTACTGCCTGCCATTTGATCCTGGACATTTGAATGCTGTTGTGCTGTCTGCAGCCACCAGATAAAGATGCTATCACCGTAATTCTTGCCACCACAGGTGATAGCTGTCCCTGTGTAGCTTATGCAGGTCAATGCTGGCAAACACTTTCTAGAGGAGAGTTTCCGTGCCAGCACATGTTGGGCTTCTAAAAGTGCTATTAACATTTACCTGACCAGAGGTAGGGGCCTAAACTTGGACTTGTCAGGAGAAGACTGTTCACCTTTGGGACTGGTTTGGGTCTGGCTGGGTGGGAGGTGGCTGGGGAGGAGGGAGACGCTGGGCACTGAGCGGTGCTGGTTCCTCCCCAGAGGGATGTTCGTGAAGATCCGGGACAAGCAGCGTCACCCCGAGTGCTACGTGTGCAGCGACTGTGGCACCAATCTCAAGCAGAAAGGACACTTCTTTGTGGGAGACCAAATCTACTGCGAGAAGCACGCACGGGAACGGGTGACTCCCCCAGAGGGCTACGAGGTGGTCACTGTCTTCCCAAAGTAAACCATGCTGCTCACAAAGCCAGAAGGATGATTTATCCTCTGCTGATTTTCCTTGGAGAGCATTATCCCTACCCCCTGCAGAATCTTGTTTGCAATAAGGAATGCTAGGCATGGCTTTGAATTTCCTTGTCATTATTAATCCTCCATCTGTTCACATGAGATGTCACTAATTGTTCAACATTCTTTTCATCCTCTCTTTTACTTTTTTCTTAATAAACAGAATTTTTTTCCCTTCATTGTGCTGTCAATCACACAGGAAAATCAGAGGCCAAAGTCAGATTACAACTTTTCTGTGTTCTAGTTATTTGCCATCTGTTTGCCTGCAATAAATGGGGTGAATCCACAAGGTAGAAGTGTCTGCTTTCTGCTGTTTTCCTTGTGCACTGGATTGTGGTTCCCTGGGCAGCAGAAGAGGTGCCCAGTGCATGGCTGTGTTTATCCTGGAGAATAGTGGAAGGGATTTACAAAGTTGAGTCAGGCTGGTCTTGCTGCCAGCTGAGCTGTGAGCAGCTGCCTGCTGGCACCCAGCAAGGGGCAGGTGGGCACAGCCAAGCCGCAGAGCAGCCTGGTGGCCTGTGCCCAGGGCAAGGCAGCCGAGAGATGCCTCCTCTGTGTCCGGCACTGCTTCATGATGATGGGACTGGGCACGGCAGTGCTTCCTGCTACTGCATCACCACAGATCCCCTTTGTTCCCCACAGTCACCAACTGAGCTCTGTGAGAAAAATGATCACATGGTGCTTGCTGGAAACCAGGAAATCTGAGAGTGAAGAGGGGAGTTGCCATAGTCCCTGTTCTGGCTCCCCCTGGGGGGAACCACATGTGGCTGCCCAAGGCATCACCCTGCTCCTAGTGCTGCTGCTGTGCACAGCTGCTGGAGGGTGCCTTTGGGGGGTGATGTATCCTTGTGCCCTGGATAAAGGGCTGATAGTGCCTGAGGAGCAGAACCTCCACCCGTGTAGAGCACAGAGAAGGCCTGCAGTGATTATTTCTCACACCTCTAAGTAAGATGATGGCTGTTCTTATTAATGTAAAAATAAATGGTTTATAAGATGTCATGTTTCCTTTAAAACGAATTGCCGGTGGTTGAAATCAGCAGGTTTGTGGTTGTACAAAGGCCCTCTGTGGCCAGCACAAGGCCCCTGGATTTAGTAGGTGCATCTGCAACAGCTACAGACAGGGTCATGTCCTTGCCCTGGAAAGTCCTGTCTGTGTTCAGCAGTGCTGTACTGCTGTGCCCTGTGTTTCCTCTCCTTCACAATGAATCACACCACAGCACAACTGCGTTGTAAAAATAAAAAACAAAAAAAAACAAAAAAACAAACCCACAAAAAACCAAACAACAAAAAGATAATAAACCAAAACAGCCATGCTAAAACCACAACCCCAAACCCAGTCCTCATCTGAGGTGAAGTTGACCTCACACCAAGCCTATAAGCCTCCTGCTGTTCAGATAAACAGTGCAGGTTGGGCAGGGGACTAATTCACCAACCCATCTAAATTTAGTTCATCCTCTCAGGCTCCTTCTACGGGCAGAGGCAAGCAAGCAAGGCTGCCATGGCTCAACCAGCAAACTTTGTTTGGATCATCCCTGGGAAAAGCCTGGCTTCCTGGGCCACTGGCACACATTGGCGCACACCTGCACAAACTCCAGGTAGTAACACAAGCAGTTCTTTTTCAAGGTGAGAGTGGAGGGATTTTTTTCCTGCTGGGATGACGTCTCCCCTCACTACTGTTGGGGGCGTTAATTCTCACCTCTCCAGAGCACACTTCCATAGGGCAAGGCTCTCTGTGCTGCAGTGTCAGCAGGAAGCACTGCACAATAATCCAGTGCAGTGGTGGGAAGCACAGATCTGCAGGGGTGAAGGAGTGACCCTGTAGGCACAAACTGCTCTGGCTGTATTGTGGACCAAGTCCTGGCAGTGGGACTGTGGCTGCTCCACACCACCTGCTTTCTCAGCAGGCTGGGGGCTCAGGACTCCCCCAGCAAAATGCTGGCTGCTGAGGCCATCTGGAGCTCTGTGTCCTGGCCCCAGAGCCTGGGCTGAGCCCTCCAGTGCCTACAAAGTCACTACATTATTTCGTACACAAATGCCTGTCAGCAAAACAGCACTCATTCCAGAAAACCTCATGATTTTGGGGGCAAGGGCATTAGAGCCTGGCCCATGCCTGGCATTTCCGTGCCCTCCAACCCAGCACCACCCTGCTTTGTGCAGGGCTATAGGCTCTGTCAGCAGCCTGAGCTCCTGCAGCCAGGCTGGCAGCACCCTGGGAACACTTCCTCCTGCAGGGGGCTTGGCGCAGGACTTGGGCACTACAGATTTGTGGAGTAGTCTGGAAATGTAGGTTTATAATGTGGATATCAGAGTTGATCCAATTTATTATGTGGGAATGGGTTAGGTGAGGAAGTTCACATTTGTTACTTGAGGACTTTGATCACTCTCAGCTGTGGCTAGCTGAGAAAAGGAAGGTATTTATCTTTTATGATGTAGGGCAAAATATTTGACAACTGCAGTGTTCATGTAGTCTGACTCTTCGGATTCCTCAGGAGTTAAAAATTTGGCATCTGCAGTCTGTCAACAATAACAAAATCGGTTAAATAGCCTTGCAACCACACTGAGCTGCCTGCTTTACAAGTTATCAATAATGTAAAAAGACATAAAAGGTTCCTATGTGAAGCGTGTTGGGCAGTTTGAGTGGGGGAGCATCCTGCCAGAGCATCTCACAAAGGTGGGCAGCACAGCACAAAGCACAATCTGTCATTTTTAAAACTCATTACTTTGATTTTGCACCATACTGCAGGTTAAGCAGGGTAGATCAGTCTTCAAAAGTTATGTAGGCTGTGTGGGAGCAGCTGTCACCTAATATTGTCTTTAACAAGATTAGGTTGAGATACAAACAGTTTAATAGGGAAAACAAAAGCCACACACACAAGCAAAGCAAAACTGAATGAATTCACTTCTTCCCATGGGCAGGCAGGTGTTCAGCCATCCCCAGGAGAGGCAAATGCTGGACTTTGTATTACTCAAGATAATTAGTAACTGAACTGAATAATTAGAAACTTTTGTCTTCAGCAATTGCCAATAAAACAGGGCTTTCACCAAGCAGAGATCAAAGTCAGCTTACTCATTAACAGACTTGGCTGTTCCCTTAGAGGTAAGTATAAATATCTCTTGCTACTGTAAGATTCCCTTCTCTATCAGGCCACTAGAGTAATTAGGATCATGAAGTGAATGAAAACTGGTTTCTGAAGTCTGAGTTAAGGGGTTTTTTTTCTGTGTGATCTATGCCATGTTAATGAGCACAACTGCAACTGTGACAGCTCCAGCTGCAATTCCATGACTGCAGCTTTTAAACTAAACCTAAAAGACATTTTCACAAACTGGAGCTGAAAATTTAGAAGCTGCCTGATTCATTCAGTGCTGTGTCCAGTTCTGGGCCCCTTGCTACGAGAAGTACACTGAGGTGCTAGAGAGTGTCCAGAGAAAGGTAATGAGGGTAACTAAGTGTTCTGGAAGGGGAAAGTGCAGAATGTCCATGTGGGTGTGTGAAAGCCAAGAAGTACTTTCTGGGAAGAGAAGGGCAGTCAAGAGGTAAAGGCTAGTACATGTGCATTTAACCTAAAGGAGTTAGCTGTCATCATTGCACTGGGACTTTTGAGATGGAGTCCAACTGTTAGCATGACACTGCTGATCCATCGAAATCATGGCCCCAGGTGCCACATCCACATCTTAAATATTTCCAGGGATGGCAACTCCATCACTTCCCTGGGCTGCCTGTTCCAGTGCTTGACTTTTTTGGTGAAGAAACTTCCTAATATATAATCTCAACCTTTCCTAGTGCAACCTGAGGCTATTTCCTCTTGTCCTATTGCTTGTTACTTGGGAAAAGGGACCAACACCTCCTTCCACAAAGCTGTAGAGTGGCAAGTTCTCCCTCCTCCAGGCTAAACACCCTCAGCCCCCTCAGTCACTCCAAAACTTCTGCTCCAGACTCTTCAACAGCTTTGTAGCTTCCTACATTTGCTTCAAATGGGCAACTCAGCTGCACAGACTGACCAGCAGTCAATACAGAAGTTATGTCTGCACCAGAAAGATTTAGGCTGTTTTAGGTTCATCTTTTTTTGGTTTCTGTTTTGTGTGTGGGTGATTTTCTGCTGTTTTGTGGGGTTAGTTTGTTTTTCTTTAAATGTATGACATTGGCTAATGTGCTAAATAAGTAGGAAAGTGTGAATTAATGGATCAGATTTGCTTGTTTAAGAAGCCAAAATCCATAGACCTTTAGAACAAAACAGATATTTATTTAATCAAAATAATTCTCGGAAGTTAAAAACAGAAGCTACCCAAATGGCTTTAACAAACATACACGTTCTCCCTTCCAAATAAAACTATAATTGACACCATATTTAAAAAAAAAAAACAACCAAGAAACAGGGGTTTTAGGACTTCCACAGGAAGATTTTTTTAAACAAATTTGCCAGTTTATACCAGTGAGTACAGGAACTAGCTGCAAATGTGAAACATGCTCATTTTCTTTATGAAAGCCTACTAAAGCTACAACTATCACCTGCATTATACTCTAGAACATGTTAAAATTCACTGGAAGAACACAAGGGATTTGAACAAGGCCTTAAGGAAAGTCAGCATCAAGGACCAGCAAGCATAAGTGACATCTCTGCAAGATCTGAAAGACTACATAGAAGCCACAATTGCATATTAAAACACACATTCTGCATTGGACTCTGATGACTCTTCTAGGACTTTGAAGACACCCATTTTTTCCTTTTTCATTTTTTCAGAGGCCTTCATTTGATCTAAGATTAAAACAAAGGTCAACCATAAGAGGTGTAATAGAAAAGAGATTTGGAAAACAAGTTGAAAAAACCATTTTGCAGAGTTGGATAACAAGCTGACAAAATTTTGCTCCTTCATCAACAGTTGGCTACTAGAAGTTTGTATTCAAAAATATTTTTCAGCTGTATGCTTCTAGGAAAAAATTCCAACATCTCTGGCTAAATGTGAATGGAGAAAAGAAGTCCTAAAAGCTGCCTGAACTAGTCTCATTTTTCTGAAAAAAAATACCCAGAAAACCTATTTAGTGAAATTACTAGGAGAAATGTAAAATTACAGCTCTGATAAGTAATATTCTTTCCAAAAATGCAAACTTATCTTCCTGGCAACTGCAATCACTTTGTTACCCTTCCAGTGAATATTAAGCTAATGAAAAAGTATTACATTTATATAAATTGAGTAATCACGGCTTACCACGGTGGGAGCTGGAATTTTGCTTTCTAAAGCACTAACTGCAGTTAGCTATAGCAAATATTCAGTATATGATGCCAGACTAATATCT